AAGTTTTCGTAAAATAAGTCCCTGCTTCTTTATACAACATCTTGTTTGTGTTCTTGTAGCATCCCCCAGAACGACTTAGTCAAAATAAAATTTAAATTATCAAAATTTCTAATATTTATTTTCTTTCAAAAAACAAAGCCCAACACTAGTTATTGAAATACATAAAAACCTGACAGTGATATAAAAGTAGCAGTGCCATGTATTGCATAGAGACTATTTAAAATGCAGCTGAAGTAAAGACATATCATATACAGGATATTTAAAATCTTGCACTAATAGTTCTGGGAGCACAAACACTTCTTTCAGTGCCATTAAGTCTTATTTTAAAATGAATCAACCTAAAATATAGCCTGTTGAGCTATCAGTTATGGCCACTACATTCTATCATATAAACATTTTGAGCAGTCTGAAAATGCACATCTTTACTTGATATACTGCCATTACCTGGGAATCTATTACACTGCAGTTTCTAAACGAGAGACTAGAAAATTTCCAACACATTTTTACTGTGGAAATGCAAAGCTCTGTGAGGGCCTAGGTTAAAGCTGTAGTCTGGGTGTACCAACTGCTCAAGAATTTAAGAAGTCTTAGGTAGAAATTAAAATTTAAACTATTAGAAGTCTAAACCTCCCTGTGAGAACTTACGTTCTCACAGTGGCTGCAACATCACACAAACAAAATGTTCTGTTCATCCTATACTACAGAAAAAAATGTCAATTCAGTAAATTCAAAGATTGGTTTCTCAGCTAACTTGTGTTGGAATAGTCTGTTAGATTCAGAACAAATCTCAAGACTTCCACAGTTTGAGAACAGGGTCCAGAAATCTAATTGATTGGAGAAGGGGGTGGCAATAATTTTAAATAGCAAGGCTATTTAATTATAGGCAATTAGAGCATATTTAGCCATTTAAACTGCTTTCTACTAGTGCTGGATGTAATAAAAAAAGAAAAAAAGCTTTAAAGAAGGGATAAAAATTCTAAAGATTGTGTTTGCTCTCAAGCAAAAAGATGGCACTTTTGCTCTTTACTGAAGTAGATTGTGCAGAGAGGCAGCTTGCAAAGTTTGATCTTCTAAAGGAAGAGGAATTCATCTACCATTATAGGGTGGGATTACTTCTGCTCTTGAAACCTGTGATCCTCACAGCTAAGCAGAAATGTGTGAGCTGCTTCTTTGCTTGCAGTGCTGCTACCCTTTTCTCTGAATGCCTTTACTTCTCTACTTGCAGTGTTAGTTGTTGTAGAGGCATCTTTGGTTTTTAAAGATAAAACTCTTCCTCCTCTTTAATCTCACTAAATGTGCTGTGCTCCTTATCCAAAAGAGGCAAATAATTTTAATTCAAGGCATTATTTTTGTACAACATATCACTCTGGCTTACATTTTCCATGCCAAACTCTAACTATCAATGACTTTTTAACAAGGAGGATTGTTCAGCCAACTTCTGAGATTATTACTCACAGAACTGTGGGACAAAGCAGTGTAGATTTGCCCAGTTTATCAAACAGGCCACCAGCTCTTATTATTTCAGGGAGAATCAAATTGGAAGTTGCTTCTTGAACTAATCAGGGCTGATTTGCTCTAAAGTTGCTTCCTGACTTAGATCTCAGGCAAGGAAGTGCTGTAATCAGTTCCCAAGGGCCGTCAGAGTTGTGATGGGATATTAAAGGAATGGTACGCTACCTTTAAAATGTTCCATAATCTTGGCAGATTTTTGTGTTTAACACAGTTAAACCTGAGCTTGTTGTATAGAAACAAAGATTAATTTCATGAGGTAATTTTATATAAGAACATAAAAGTCAAATGTACTTGAGGCAGCAGAAATGAATTTTGGAGAGAATATATTCTGGTCTCCTCCAGGGTTTGTACATTCAGCTGAGAATACAAACTGGCAGAATTGTTCAAAATCAAACATTTACTACCCGTCAACTCCCCCCCTCCCCAAAACCAAAAAATAACCAAACCCAAAAAACACCCTCAAAAAAAAAAACAAAACAAAAAAACAACACACCAAACTTCATGAAAGAGAAAATGAGTCCCCCTGAGTGTCTCTGTTTGCATATTAGCCCATAGCATGGGCTCTGCCAAGTTACTCTGACTGACTGCTGCAGATGCTCTTTCTCAAGTATTCTGAGTGAGATCTTTAGTGCAAGTCTTTGGGGACAAACAATAGCACCTGTTCCTCACAAGATAGCAGCCCAGTTAGTCCATTCATGTATCTTTAATGAAGCTCTGGGGCAGATGGCAAAAAATGGCATCATCAACGACTGAGCACAGAGGAGACAAAAGGGGAAAGTGCCGCTCCAACAATGTGCTATTTGTACGAATGGGAAGAGACAGAGTCAGAGTGTTTCTTGGGCATCTGCTCCTGTCTTGGTTTTCAGAAAGACCTGAGGAACATCTCAGCAATTAAAATTTCTGGGCATGTAGCCGATTTTATGAAGTACACCAATCAACCCCTCCTCCTAATTTCTTCCCCCACCAAGTAAAATCAAACCCATCATCTTTATAATAATAAAACTCTCAGGAATAGAAACTGTCAAAAATTAAGGAGTTAACTGGATTTTTTTGCATTCATTTTATGTTTATAATAGTTCTGTGATCAGTGATACTTTTACATTCTCTTCCTTTTCAGCACTTATTTGTTCTTTTCAGTTGACCTGTGCTGAAAATGAATACCTATGTATATAATAATTCTCTGTGAAGCCAACACTTACATAGGAATAGCATTTCATATGTGTCAGAGGGAAGCCTCATGGGAGGGAATGATGGCCTTTCAGTATGAAAATTTTTTCAGTCTGTTTAAGTCTCTTAATTGTAAGTCCAAACTTACAGCCTAAATGTAACCTATAGTCGATTTATGCTGATTTATATAGACTGAAGACCTGCTCCTGAATTCAGAGTAGGAAGAATAGCAGCCAGAACTTGAAATGGTATTTCCCCACACTTACAGAAGTGCTTTTATTTGAGAGTTTAAACAAAATTTATACAACTGAGTTGATCAAAATCTACAGGAATGCATTGTAGGATTTGGTTATGATATGTTTCAAATTATCTTTATGACACAATGGAGTGAAATACTTCATTGGGTGTGTTTGCACCTTCACTCAAACCACAGCACTCTGATCTCTTCTGCATCTTGTGAGACTGTGTTGGAGTATTGTACCTCTGCTGCTCCATGTAAATACTTTATGTGGGGGATATTTCTTATGATTTTGGCTCCATTTGATTAGATGTAATTTAGAAACTACTACAAATTTTTGTTAGTTGTATTGCATTGAATTTCTTCCTGTACAGTTGCTTCTATCAAACAAAGCCTGTTGTTTTTCCTTTGCTGTGCTCCTTTAGAGAGGATGTATAGAAACACCAGACAGCAAAACCAGCACCATTTTATCAGAGCTGAATGCCTGTTCTGGGCACATGGGGATCAAGTCCAATCTGACCAAGTTTAATGCATAACCTAAAACACACAGCCAGGCTTACCTCAGCTAAAATGAGAGAAATAGCTGCGTAAAGCTAGTTTCTTTCACGCCCCAGTGCCATAGCAGTAATTGCACAAAGACCTTTTTTATTATAAGTTGATTTTCCTGAGGAATGGATTCAAAAAATACTGTAAAGTGTTTATTTTTTGCTTGACCTTTATTAACCTCCATCTTAGGGCTTTCCCAAGAGAAGAGTTGTTGGTAAATTAACCCTCATAGAGACACACAGTAGCATTTCTGCACTGCATCAATGGTTGTGAAAGTAATGGGGATATGACAAGAAAATTTGGCACTATTTAAGCAATGTCACAGGTCAACATATGGGATTTGACCAAAAAAGTTTTTTAGGAATTAAATGCAAAAAATTGCTTGAAGTGTACTTTAAGTTTTTAATAGTGTTTAATTCCACCGATTTACGGTACGATGAGGGAATTTTTTTTCTGTCTAAACCCGCATGATTTCCTACATTTACCAGCTTTGATATATAAAGCATTATATGTTTGCTTAAGTGCTAATCAGAGAAATTATAGTCAAACCCTCGGGTATGTCTGGGGTTAAGAAATGATGGATAAAAATTCTTTGAGATCCTACCCACTGTCTCTGAAACATGGGTACTGTAAATTAAGGAACTAGGAAATTACCTTGTGGGTTTAACAGGCATCATCTTATCACATAATTCTCTATATATTGAATACAAATGCTAGTATAAGGAGAAGAATCTTTTCCTTTGTGCATGTTTGTGGTTTTTCGATACATTTATTACAGTCAAATTAAATTTGATATAGTAGGTTTTGTTCTGAAATGGTCTCTGAATGCAGCTCCATAATTACCAAGCTACATGATAGCACATAAAGCTGTAAAACTGCTTAGACAGACAAGCAATTTATTTCTTATAGTGAGGTGTGTGTGGCAGAGTATGTTAGTTTGTTTAGGAGCCAAGATTTTGGAGCCTTAAATCTTAAGAGTTGTGGTGTTGACTAGAAGGCTCTTTAGTACGCTGGTGAGATTTTGAAATAACATACCTGAGTTGATGGTATTTATGTGAACCATGTTGTAAGATCTCAGAATTAAAATTTTCCTAAGGTTGCTAAAATCTGAACATCAAAGTAGATACTGCAGTGTTAGGTTGCTTCTAAATGCTCATCACTGTGTGACCAAAGATGAGAAAACCTGTGAAAAACTAATAAAAATACATATCACACTACTTTTAATAAAAACTTTGTTTTCTACCTTTTTACCTTGTGCCCGGGTAGGGAATACTAATTAAAAAAAACCCCAAAACAATGTAATAGAGAACCAGGAAGGAGTAGGGAAATCTGCATCTCACCCAGACTGTTACACCTTTGACACTGAGGGAAAACAATGTTTGTGAGGGCTTTGATGTGATAATGTGAAGTTGGCAAGGATTGCATTAGGGTGAAGGTTCCGGGGGACTGTGTGAACGCAGGAACACTATCAGTGCTGGAGAAATACCTGTCAAGACAAATTTGTGCTATTTCTGATCAGAGGCTCTCTTCTGTTTAGCAGGTTCAGGGTCACATGCCTCCGCTCATGATCCCAATTTTTCCACACGACCAGCGGACACTGGCAGCGGCTGCTGCAGCCCAGCAGGGATTCCTCTTCCCCCCAGGAATAACATACAAGCCAGGTAAGCTCACAGGGATGCGAGGCTTTGCACATTTTAAGACATGAACGGTAGCTTCTTGCGTGATCTGTTGCATACAGATGATACACAACAGGCATAGCTGGCTGGAAATTATGTGGAGCTTTTGCAACTCCACTTGAAAAAATACTTCTGGATTGAAGGAGGTGTGTAGACTATTGGTTATTGAACATCATGATTTTTTTAAACTTAATTTCCACAAAGTAATTTGCTTTAAATATAGTAGCCCGCTTGCCTAGCAATTTGCATCTGGTCTGCCCTATACAACATACATGTCTTTAATTAATTCTGTTATCTTCAGAATATTTGTGATTCGTAGCAAAATTTTTACTCTTTTGTTTAATTTCAATTAGGTTAATAAAAGGTTTCAGTAGTTCAGTTCTAGTCATCATTCAGACTCCTAACAGGTCACATAACCTTGCAGCGAAATATGTTTTGAGATGATTTAGCAAATGTTATGATTTCTTTCTTTTTTTCCTCTGAGTTTACAGGACTCCTGGGGAATTCAATTAGGGATATAATGGTTTGAAGCTACTTGCAGAGCCTCCTTGTAAACAGGGCTTTAAATGTTTAAAGACACTTTGCCAAAGGAATTCAATGTAGGAAGATATTTAAGTAAATAAAAGTCAACCTTATTTTCATTTGTACATTCTTTGTAAGTGACCTCAGTCCAGAAGCAGCAACCTTCTTTTGCTCATTAATAGTATTCTCTGTCAAGCTGCCTTTAGCATATTAACCTGATAACTAATAACTACAAAACATAAGTAACAGGGTTTTTTTATTCATTAAATTTGAAGCGTACAAAGTAAAGCATTGATCCTGTTCCCACTGATATTAGTGGTGCTTTTCCTGTTGACTGCAACAGGAACGGGGTCAAATCCAATGTAAAGCCTCATAATAGATGATGTAAACAGCATGCTAATTAAAAGCCAGGTTGAACCTAGAATCTTTTCTAGCAAGTTTACTTAGTATTAGATGAAGTGGGGCCAAGCAGGATTTCAGCAAGTATTTCCGTTTGTCCCACTCCCTTCTGTCTCTTTAGTCCAGAGACGATCCTCTTTAAACACAGATTTTTTTGTCTAGCTATCTTACTTTCAGGTTTTGAAATCCCAAAGTTCTTGTCTGATTTGACTGCACACCCATCACTCCCCTCACAACAGGGACCAAAGACAAAGGGTTGGTGGAAATTGCCTAAAATGCCCTGGCTAAATCTTCTCACAGACAAGAGAAAGCCCATGCTTTCCTTGCTTCTCCTGTTTTAACCTGAGATCCTTTCTGAGTAGTCACTGTTAGTGACTCAGCTGATAGTTGTGCTGCCCCCTGAAAGGCATTAAGTTCAATCATGTTGTGTTAATTTTGGCTCTGTAGAATTCTTGATACAAAAATGACTTAGGAAGAAGACTTACCAGCACATTTTCCTGAACATGACCAATTTTCTGGACATATTCTACAGTATTCCTCATAGTACCTATCTAACTTGATCCCACTGAACTCCTAACAAGAGATGATACAGCTTTAGGGCATTTCCTTACTTCCCAGCATGCAGAAAGAGAGATGTGTAACAAAATTTAGAAGAATGAAATGCAGGAAGAAGCCTAGGCCTAGATATCTTGGAAAGCAGTGAAGCTGTTTGCTGGTGTAAGTGGTTTAATTCCAGATGATGCTAGGAAAAATCACAATTATCTGGTTATAACCAGTGTCTTTAAAGAAGTTAGAATTTATATCTTTATATACATATATATATTTATATCTTCAATATATACATTTAATTCTACTGCATGTGTGGCAAAGGTAGATGGGCAGGTCAGTAGCTTCCGTCAGAGATATATTATGATAAAAAAATGCTGTAACTACACTTGGTATTGATTAATTCCTATTTTTGGCACTCTCGGAACAGTAGTTAAGGAATTAATGAAACTGGAGATTAAGCTATACTCTTTCATAGAGAGGGTTCTTCAAAGTCATTTCTGAGGAATATTTATGAACTTGACTGATACTACCTGTTCTCTTTTACTTTTGTGAGAAATGAAACTTTCACCTGCCGAACTGTCAGGTTAGATTTGCTCGTACCTCTGAGGGAAGACAGGATTAACCCATCAGATGCTTACCAATTTCTTTTAGGGTACAGGTTTAGCTTCTGTTGTATTTTACTGCATTTTGACATTGGCAAGACTGAGTTTTGACCCTGCCAGTTTTACCTGACATTCAGAAAATACAGCGAGAGGCATTTCAATAATAGCAGTGGTGGGGACTAAGTATGTTTGAAACTGACTGTGTCATTTAGGGAATGTCGAATATTGTGTGCACAGTCACTAAATCTGCTTTGCCTACAAATCAGCCTAGATATAAGCTGGCTCCAAAGTGGGAGCAGTGCATCAGTGTGACAGCACAGCCAGGATGAGAAGTCCTACCTTGGTGTACAAGCGGGGATATGATTACGTGTCCATGTCCATGGAGAAATATCTTCCAGGGCTAAATTGGGAACCAATTTCATGGCTGTTTAGTTCAATGCCAAGGTAGCACTTCGCAAAACCAAAACTGTTGCAGATTTGCACACCTTGGAGGAATAAAATGGTATTCTTTAGCAAAGTAGAATAGTTGGTACACTCAGCTGAAGGTCCTGCAGAAGAGAAGAGCATTTATTAGCTTCTGAGGCCCTTCCAGTACATGTCTTGCTGCTCATGAACTTCTGAGATCAGCAAATCATTGGGAGCAGGAAACTTAAGGACTTGCTGATATACAGCTAGGATAAAGCCTGACAGGAGAAACTTTCCTTCTGCCTGGCAGAATCTATAACACTGAGGTGGCTGTAGCCCTCCCCCCACAGTATTTTGGAGCTCTAGGAGGTGAAACAGGCCAAAGTTAGCAAGTGCTGATGACAAGTAATAATTGCATTAGAAAAAAAATCCCCAAAGTCCCATGCTTCCTTATGTATCTCAAAGTCATGTAATATAATTTTCCGGCATGGTAAGTACTAATTGAGAAATCAGAGCTGCATAGACCACCTAATTAATTTTTTATACATATTTCAGTATTTATACTGTATACCGGATTAATTAAAACTTTAGGGCGCTGTGCATCTCAAATGACTGTTGTGACTATTGACCTGCAGGCATTTGACGAGCCTCGTAGAGTACCTGGTTGTGGGGGTTGCCACTTATTCCAGGGGGAAGCTGAGAGTGGCAGCTGTTAGGAAGCTAATACTTGCCCAGAGATGCTACACAGTTAATAGAATTATTTTGCATTCCGAGGAGAGCAAAGCAACTGCGCTGGCTTTCTGACTGTGACCACTACACTTACTGCTTGAAACTGGTGGGCAGCATGAGTACCATTATACCTCCTCTCCCACTGCAATTTTCCCTTCATTTCCCTAAAAACATGCATCCAGAAAAACTTAGTGGGCTGGAGTATCCTTGAACATGATTATTTTGTCCTCATTAGGTCAGGAGGACAAGGCAGTGAGTAGGAGGAGGAAGATAAGCATAAAGGAAGAGCAGTTCCCTCCTCCATCTTTCAGTAACTTAAAGCATTACTTCAGTCAAGTTGTGTGGCTGAGAGAGTACAGGGAAGCAGGATGATGATGGAGTAAAGATATAAAGCAATGTTAGGTAGGAGCCAGACCATAAGCCCAGCAGATCTCAAACAGAGAGAGGGAGTGCTGATGTCCATGCCAATTGCATAATGGCAGTCCATGAGGCATCAAAATGTATGATCACTTTTGCTTAAAAATGTCCTGCAAATATTTAGTGGTGTACCATTTCTTTGCCAGATCTGGAAAGTATCTCTCAAAAAGATTATTGAAAATAAAGACATTGAGTAGAATAAGACTCAGTTTAGACAGGTTTGTTGAGTGATATGCTGCAGTGTATTTTCAAGGCTTTTTTTTTTCATATTTTGTACAAGGCTGGTATAAAGCCCATGACTAGAGTGGCTAAGAAACAGCCCCTATATACCTACCTAGAGCATTTAGCTTTATGCACAAATATAATTTACAAGAGAGTTTGCTATGCTGCATTGTGATGTGAAAATGGAAACTGATTTCCTAGGCTGGTGGCAGAAACAGTCAACATTTTGACCTGATTTCTGCTTCTAGTTGCACTGGCAAATCAGAGAAAGTAATATTTATTAGGGAAAGGATGACAAACAAAACTGTCAAGGCTTATTGTCATCAGGCTGGACTTCAAAACATTCAAATAGTGTGAAATATTTGTCATCAAACTAATTAAACTCCTTGATTACTGTAGCTAATCCACATAACTCACACAATATTATATGTGCTGGATTTCTCTGATATCCAACATTGCAATTTCCATTTGGAATAGGTCTTTCCTATAAGTTTTTTCTAAATTTTCCTATAAGATTTTTCTAAAGCTCTAAGGTAGTCTAGATTTTCCATATCTAGTAACTGGCAGGTGCAAACAGGAGGCACACACCAAATCCACTGGGTACTGGGTTGCCTGTGTGTGTTTTCATGGCTTCATGAATCCTTTTTCTAATGGCAATTCCCCAGGACTGAGTTAAAGGCTGTCATGTGTCCCTTGTTGGGTTTTACTTGGTTGGAACAAGGACTTTGAAACCTCGGGATTTGTTGTAGCAATCATATATGCCTCAGTCCTAAATAATGATGCAAAAGCTGAAAATGATGGCAGGCAGCTGGATATTGTCAGGTAGGACTTTGCAGTGAAATGTGTGCAAATTTCATAATTTTGCGAACACTACGTGCAGACAGCAAATTGTGGGGGAAGCTGGTTTTGCTGCAACATGAGAATGTCAGTAAGGCAGAGCTGCAGCAAACCTACGCAGGACAAAGGCACAACTGAAGCAGTGCCATGGGACAGGGGGGATGCTCCACGGTATTCCCTTAGTCAGTTACCTCTGTTTCCATCTTCCTCAACCCTGATGGCTCTGGACAAGTAAAATTCATGCCCTGTGTGGGAATACTGTGGGAGTGTCCATCTCTCTCCCTGCAGTATCCTGACAACACCTGAGGTTTGCTTTGCCCCATCTGTCCATTATGTCTGGAAGGATGGAGCCCTGGAACTGCTGACTTCTTGCAGCTCTTCCAACTCCATTTCCTCTCATTCCATGAGTGTGAAGAGACAGATTTTACAATCCCAAAATGGTGGGAACGTCATCAAGCCAAAATCTTTGTAACTCAGATGAGGAGAAGCAGCTTATGTGTTACAATTGTGTTTTAGGAAATACTGAAAATAAGGCAGCACCTTCCCCCTACTCTGGGTCTCACAAAAGCCAGACATCCTTCTTTCCTCACAGCTCACAAAGCCTTGATCTGGAAGGTAAGTCTATACATCCTATAAATAAAGTCTGCTAAGCTTCATCTCTTCATCCAAGACAAAAAGAAACATTTACATTATTTCTGTGTAGAATAACACAGCACAATTGCTCACTGCTTTTATTCATTTGGAAATGTTGCTCAACCTGACAAACGAAACAGAAGTCTGGCATAATTTTCCATGGCTTGTAAACACCAATTTATATATAAACAACAGCAGCCAAATGTAAATAGACAATCAGCACAGCAAGGAGATTGAAAAGATCAGTTTGCAAAACATGACAGATTTTCTTCTTCCAGCATTCTTCTTACTCCTGGTTATCAAAGGCCAGCACACACTAGCACTTAAGTCAGACCTGTTTGAACATGTCCTCCTGCCTTTTGTACAAATTTAAAGGAATGGGTCCTCACGCAAGCATTCCAAACTGAGAAACAAATTGGGAAAAAATTGCTACAATACATTGCCTGATTTCACGCCAAGACAGCTATGGAGGAGCTTCTTGATCCATTCTTGCACTGAGAAAATGAGAGGGGGAAAATATGTACCTCTGTAATTAAAACTTACAGAGCACTCCTTGCATGCTCAGTTTGCTCAAGGGAGAAAGAAATACCTTTGCTCTGCTTTTAACTCCTCGGTGTCAACAAAGTACTCCAGAGCTGAAGGAGTAATAATTTTCATTCTCAGCCCAAAGATGCTGCTGCCATACCAGGACTTGGCCATAATTGAACACATTAAAGTGAGGGCAAAACGGGACAGTATTGGGTTTTAATAACAGATAAATGGCACAATCCTGTGAATATTCTTCTTCCTGCAACAAAAGACAGCACTGTAGCCAGCAGGTGAGCAAGAGAACACTACAGGGTGTGGTGAAGATACTATTAAATTAACTGTGAAGCCAAAAACTCTGTGTGAGTGCGCATGTGGGTATAAAATATCTGGCTATTTCAAACCATAGGAGCATGACAGCTGTGAAAAAGGAGTGCCGCAGGGAATTCTTTTAGAGTTTGGGTTTTTTTTTAAATATGTTTGACATGGAAAATGTTTTAGTACAAATAAAGCAACTGGTATTGAACTTAAAAAGTGCATGCAGAGGGGGAGGGAGAAAGAAGAGATTGCTGTGTGGAACAGGGATGAATAATTCATGATATTTAAAGAAAGAATGCCTCCAAAATGTTCTGCAAGGCAGTCCATGCTGATAAGTCGAATGGTTATTTCCCCCCCCATTTAAAGCATCATTAATTCAACAGCTTTGTGATTTTTTAAAAAAGAAACCTTGTAAGATATTTCTGAAAGAAACGTTATTTAACTTAGATTATGATCTTATTTATTCAGATAATTTCATATAAATATCAAAGATACGAGTGGAATTATTTAACCGTAAAGAGACAGTTTAAGTACTTCAAGAAAATAATCTAGAAGTCTTTTTGTTGATTTTGTTTTTGAAAGAAAAAAATCCCAACATCATTGCGCGCTAAAATCAGCCTCATGGAATGGGGAAAATAAGAGGAGATATTTTGAACATTACTCTATAGGACATCAGTACAATATAGTGTGAGTGAATGCATTGTAGCAGAGCTCCATATGCAATCAGAATCCAATTGTTACTGGACTGTGTACAAGCACATACTGTGCTCAATGGCCTGATGAGGTATTATGGATATGATGCAAAGAGACCTTGTGGATTAGACATGTACAATTTATTAAAAAAGTGAAACTGCCAAACATTGTAACCAAACTGGATACAATCAAACTTCATGTGGTAAAAAGAGAGTCCTGAGGAGTCTGGTGGCTGCAAAGATTTTAGCTATTGTTATTTATTTGAGGGGGTTGACAAAAAAAAAAAAATCACCTAGTTCTTGGTGACCTAGTCCTGACTATATTATACTGGATTTCTGTATTTTCTCCTATTGCTATATTCTGCTTTCAGCATGGAAGATTTTGTGTAAAATAGACTGATTACTGTAAAAATATCTAAAAAATTCACAGCCTATTAAAATGTAGCTTTCATATAGTATATAACACTGATTTCAAATAAGTAGCTGGATCCAAAGTGATATTCAGTTAAATCACAGGTTCCTATCCATCACTGTATTCATTTTTGTATTACAGATTACACTGCTAGGCTATTTCAGACTTCTTTCTCTCCCTACATTGATTAAGAGTCCAAATGGCACTGTGTGCTGCTCATCTATGGGAACACCCATAGATGTGCTATAAGACACCATGTTACAATACTTTGGAAGTTTTAGTACCTGAATCCTCATGTAACTGAGCACCTGTCTAATCTATTGACTTCAGTAGGCCCTCAGATCTAAGAGAAAATTAAAATTGTATTTCAAGCTATATAAAAGGGTGATTTAATTTTGTTCTTCCCTATGACTACCTTAAGGGAGTTGTCCCAAGACAGAGAATCCCAAAGCGAAACAAGAAACCTCAACCTGTATTGAGCCAGCTGGGTACGTGTCCCAGGAGCCACTTGACACTGAAAAGAAATCACCCTGCATCAAACAGGACTGATATTTCTTGAGTTGTAACAGATTTTTTTAATATTTTTTTTTTTTGCTATGGGCGCCACTGGGGTTTCCTGGGGTATCTTGTCTGTGTGTCTGTGGTTGTAAGACCCATTTTGTGCCCAGGCTTCCACGCTTGATTTGAACATAAGCTTTTGAAATTGAAAATCACGAGTATCATATTTATGTTTTGCCAGTTTGCCTACCAGCTATCTGCTAACAAAAAAAGTTCCAAGGGAGCATGGCAAGTCTGTGCCCAGCGAAGCCTTTTGTTTTTGCAGATGTTTAGGCTTAGAGGAGTGCTGTGGAGCACAGGCAATCCTAGGGCCCTGTTTGCACTTGTCTGCTGCTATTCTCTGCTCATTGTCTGAACCTGCACGCATTGTTCTCCCGACAGGTGATAACTACCCTGTGCAGTTCATTCCATCAACAATGGCAGCTGCTGCTGCTTCTGGACTCAGCCCTTTACAGCTCCAGGTATGTGCCAGAACAAAAAAATGTGGGATGGAAGCCAACATTTTAGGGGAAAACTGCTAACCAGCTGTATGCTAAATAATAGCCTGAATGTTAAATAATTTTTGAGCACAGCCCAGGAGGATTAACACCTTATGTACTTACAGTACAGCAACGTGCAGCCAATCTTTATGCTGTGAGTGAAAGATATTGTTCTGTGTGTTTTATATTGGCAGTTAATGGTATTTTTTTTATTTAAATGAAGAGTTGATAGGAGATAAGTTCAAAGATATTTTTGTACTTTATTTTCATGTGGTCGCTCCTCTGTAGCTGCAATGCACTACCTATAATTGGAGCAGTCAGTGTATCCAAACAAAAGTGCATTATTGGGTTTTAAATTTTGCCTTTTTTTTTTTTAACTGTGTGGTGCTGACAATACAATAAATTGCAAACTCTTTTAGCTTCTGTATTTAGGTAATCTCAACCTTTCTGTGCATTAAGCTGGTCAGATGCCAAGCATGGTTAGAGACTTAGTTTGGCCATTTATTTATTTTTGGCACATATAGAATGAAATGTTGTGAAAGAAAGATTTATGTGCCATATTATTAGCTAGCTTCTTGTGGCAAGAAGTTTTTAATTTCAGAAGAAAAGACACAACAATGTCATAAATAATGAAGAAACAGTCAAAAGCTTTCAGAGTTAAAATGTGTGGAAAGAAAGTGACAGTGAACATGAGAGGAAAGGCCATTAAAGATGCATGTAACTATTTACAAGTAAACCTTTGAAACCCCTATTTGAGTTAGGTTACAGTCAGGTTCAGAAGCAAAGTAGGAATAAATTGTGCCTAGAGTAGCAAAGTATTGCCATGCTAATACCTAAATATCTACTTTGTTTGCCTTTCTGTGATTATCTTTTTTTTTTTTCCAGAGGGGTGAAAGCAAATTAAAAATCCTTTCCTCTTTACCTTATGATGATATTCTTGCCAAATTAACTTAGGATAAGTGAAAACGTGACCAGAAGTTGTTCATTGACCCCTGTTCATTGATGGTCCAGAGCTGACAAGAAAGACTCCTTAAGCTTAGGTCTGACCTAACCTCAAACCAACATTTGGAAAGAGAACACCTTGACTCTGCAGGCAAAGTTCTCTGAAAGTAGTTTTGGGTCATAATAATGTGATGTATTATGTTGTTGGACAGGATTGAAACCAAAGGAAGTTTCTCAAAAAGAAAAATAGCAAGTATCTTTTGAAAGTGAGTATTTGACTACTTATTGAAGCAAAAGTCTCATTAGCTTTAGTTGGGAAAATACTGCAGAAATCAGCTTTGTGAATAGAGAGACTATTTTTGCTGCCTTTGAAATACACTAAAACAAATAGTGAGCCTACACAAGACTGCAAGGCAGGAAAGGATGAAAACTGCTCAACTGTCAAAGAAATGGGATCTAAACCACAGACATTCCTGATTATTTTCTTTTACATTATCCATTTGTAACTTGACCCACATATTTGTACATCAGACTTGATCTGAACCTACAGCAATAATGCACTTTCATTGATTTGAAGAAATGATAGACTGAGTTGTTAAACATGACGAGAACAATTAGAGAGCAAACAACCAGCCGAAATGGATGCTAGTCAATTCAAGAATATTCAGGCTTGGGGGTCTGAATTTCCATTTAGACATATTTACTGTAAAAGACTTCTTTTGTTTGTGTGTTTCCCCCACTTTCTATTTTGTTTGAATTTCATCTCTATGGGATTTCAAAACCTTTAATGTTTCATGGTTATAAGAGCTTAAATAACAGAACACTTAACCTTTGGCTGATACCTGCTCATCAGATTGTTAAAGTGCCTCAACTAAATTTTATTTACTCCTACTATTAATTTTCTCTTTGTGTCTATTCTCTGTGTTCCCTAAATGAACACTTATTTGGGTGTGTTTGTTGGAGAGAATTTGTTGTTATACCTGATGCGTCATGAAGACTGTTAGGGGTGTAGCATTTCAGCTCATTTTTCCATCTTTGCTTCCCTTCCCCCTTCTTTCTCTGTTCTGCTTCCTTTCTTTCATGCACCCCACCCACTTATTTATTTACGTGAATGCTGTGACCATGGTATCTGAATATTTCCCAAGTGCTTAAATATACTGATCACAAGAGTAATCTCTGTTCCTTTCAGCCAGTGGGAGAAAAAGCTAATTTATTTGCAGGTTTGGCTTTGTTTCTACATGTGAGTGTGTGTGTAATATTCATGTTTGGAGAATCTGGGGAGGGAAAGCTGTGTCAAGTGAAAGAGTTTTGCAGTAGCGCTAACATTTCAACTTTACCAGGGCATTATTATTAATTCCAAAATTATTTTCTATAATCTGTATCCAGCTATGGAAATTCTGCCAGCTTCGATCTTGTAATTCCCCCTTTTTTTTTCTACTTATGTTTTCTTTTATTTGGAGAATCATGTTGTAGGTAGGAGGTAGCAGCAAATTTTTGTTCTTTTGTGTGTTAGTGCAACTTCTATGCAACCTCTGAATCTAACAGAACAGAGAACTAGGTACCAGGTACATCATGTAACAATAGCAATTATTTCACAGAAGATCTTTCTTCAGTGGGCAATTGCTAATTAATGATTTGTCTGTCTTATTCAAGCTATTGTTGTAAAAATGCTATAAAAATGTTATAAAAACTTTCTCTGAATTCTATATTTGTGTTCACCAGTGGATTACGTATCTCTATGAGTACAAAAAACTTTACTGAAATCATATACAGGAGTTTCTCAAGTAACTAGTTTGACTTTCATTTGTAGTGCATTAAAAATTAAAAGAAAAAAAAAAGTTCTCCTTCAGCAACAGACCAGTTTGACCCATCTTCTCTTTAGACTTTTGATCACATTGATCATCACATTGATCAATTCATTATTGGTAAATACCATTAATATTCACTTGTAGCTTTCAATATCCTGAAGTGAAATAGTGACTACCACACTTTTATTCCTGAATTGGTGGCTTGCTCTGCTTTGGATTGATACCAGATAGTTTCTTTTGATCTGTATAATGATCTCATGAAGGTGTCATTTATGATGTTGTTGACAAAAATACTTAAAACTCCGTGTTTCATACTTCCCATTGACATCTCAGCCCCATCTCACCAGTTTCCTCAACAAATCAGCCAAAAATTAAATAATATGCATGACAGGACCAAGCCTTGTTAGGACTCTTGGCATGAGAGGGGATCTAGATGATGAGGGAACAGTTCTCCTAGGTATAGTCTGATTGGAGAAAACAAGTTATTTCTGTTCACCCTTCCAGCCTCAGTGAATAGTTTGCAGATTCATTACCAAGCACACCTGTGGCACGTGAAACAGTTCTGATACCTGGGTGTAACAAAAGCTTTTTTACTTTAATTAATCAGTATGAGATGTAAATTGATAATTTTCCTTTTGCTCCTCTTCACATACACCTTCTTTAGAGTTTTCCCCCTTTCCTATTTCCCTGAACTTTTTCCCAAGCTGTCAAATGGCTGCACTGGTATTAACTGATCCTAGAGATGTGTGGCCAGCAATCTTGCTAAATGAGTGGACTTGATCACTTAATGGGTTTTTCCAGCTCTCATGATGCTGGTAGCAGGAATCTAGTTACTGGGAGTGGCAGATGTGGCACCTGTGTGTCCTTACTTTCAAACAAGGAATTTTACTATATGCCATTTAGTGTTTATAAATCCCCATGCCTTCATTCTTACATATTTCTACAAAGCTGTCTAGGAGATAAATAAGGAAGTGTCGCAACTCTCTGAACCACGACTGATAAACTGTTGATAGAAATGGAAGCATTACAATGATGCTAGCTGGAGTTATTCCTAAACAAAGTGAGCTCTAGGAAAAAAAAACAAAACAAAAAAGCTTTAGTTCATAACTCTTTCCCCAAACTATTTGTGTAATTTGTCCTTCAGAATTTATCGCTTATAACACTAATGAACCTTGGCGAATCTTAACTATAGTTGCAGCTGTGTTCTTGGAACCTGAAGTTTTTATAATGCAGTTAAAAAAAAATTAACTAAGCATATATTTGCCTATTTTTTTCTGTCCTCCCATTTTATCCTACTCCTCCATACTGTCTTCCAGTTGCAGACAAAGTAAATGACCTTTTTTACACTGCTGGGTGCAGATCCAGTATACTGCTGAAGCATTGCATAGCCTGCCTCAGGGGCACAATATTAGTAGAGGGAAGGCCAAAGAATGCTATTTTTAGTTGAACAGTTCAGCAGATGGAGGCATGAATACTCATATATCTGAAGGTTGAGGGGTTTGAACCATTAATTTTGATAATGTATTTAACCCTGGGAACAATCAGAAACTGTAACTCCAAGGTTACAATGCTTTTGACCTTTAGAGAACAGAGGGCACTTGCTACAGTAAACAATATATTACATTTCTACTTATTCCAATTCTCTCACATGTATAAATTTCAGGGCATAGTTGACATTTGCTTTCCTCAGCTATTTTAGTGCTGGTCCTCAAAGTAAGTCAAGAAGAATGCAGGAAAGAGGCCAATGTAATGCGACAGTCATGTAAATATGGCATTTAAATAGCTAAGTTGTTAAACGTGTCCCTTTATGAAGAAATATTATTCTGAGGAACCAGAATCTGGATGACTTATTATTTCAGTGAAGAAGTTGTTTTAGTGGACAGCTGTTCCTCTGTTTGTTGTAACCTTAACACGATTTTTCAGCAGGGCTAATGTGATCTGATAGTGAGAGCTCACACTGGAGGTGATTTGGTCCCACTCTAGTACCACATCATGCAAAGTGATGTACCTGCCTTATGTCTTACTAAATGATGCATGCTCCTCTTCAACAAATATAGCAGTTAAATATCACACAGCTTAAGTATTTCTAATTAAAATATCTCCATGTGTCAGCATATTGGTAATGTATTATTTTAATCCATTTATTTTGTTTATGAAACAGTGACATATGTTTAGATTGTGAAATATATGAGCCTTAAAAATCACTTTATTGAAGAAAATTAATTTCTACAA